CATTATCTTTTAACTCAGCCAATGTAAAATGTTCTAATTTTGATTTTTTTTTTCCAGCTACATGTGGTCATTTGAAAAAGCTCACCTCAGCATGGTTCAGGTCATCACAGGACAACTGGTTGAGTCCTTTGATGAAGAATTCAGGACACTCTATGCCAGGTCCCGTGTCCCCAGTCAGTTCGCCCAGGAAGAATCAGCCAGGGTGAAGCACAGCAAAGCTCTGTGGGAGAACGGCACTTACCAGCGCTCACTCTCGTCCTTGGCCTCTGTTTCCAGCCAAAGAAACTTTCTTGCTAGACAAGACCAAATCCATAACCTAGATGCTGGTTACTTCAAAAACAGAGGGATATACGCTCGGAATGAACATGACAAATATAGCATGAGGAATCCTGGATACAAACCTCATTTTGTTCCCAACTTTAATGGTCCAAGTGCAATCCGTCAGTATCAGCCCAGCCAGAATGAAAATTGGAAGAGGCACAGTTATGCCGGGGAACAGCCGGAAACGGCGTCATACCTGTTGCTGAACAGGACCGTGAATCGAACCATCAATCCTCCTGGTAACTGGAAAAAGCCTTCAGATAGTCTGAGTGTGGCATCCTCGTCCCGGGGAGGCTATGCGAGCCACCAGGTCACCCCTGCCCAGAGTTTTGGCAATTGGCTTGCCCAGAGGAAAACAACGCATCTTGCAGAGAGGAATTCAAATGTGCGGAGGTCTTTTAATGGGACAGATAATCATGTTCGCTTTTTGCAACAACGAATGCCAACCCTTGAAAATACCACAAAGTCATTCCTGCGTAACTGGAGGATCGAATCCTACTTAAATGATCATTCAGAAGCTGCACCTGATTCTAATGGATCTGCGCTTGGTGACCGGTTCGAGAACTATGGCAGCTCTGAGAACTTGAAAGCCAGTGCCCTGTATACACATCCGCGGCTTCGCCCCTCTTTAGTGTTTAAACCAACTTTACCTGAGCAGCAAGAAGTTAATAGTTGTACAACTGGCTCTTCAAATTCAACTATCATTGGTTCCCAGGGAAGTGAAATACCCAAGGAAGTCCCAGATACCCCTACAAGTGTAGAGCAGTTGACGGATGAACCCTTGCCAGAATCCATCCCCAAGCAGGCAGAGTCGCCAAAAATGCACACCTTGCAGACTCCCGAAAACCACTCAGCAGTCTTAAACCAAACTACAGATGGCCATCCAGAGTCAACCAACTATTTATATACAAACTTGTGTGTAAATAAGCGGACAGAAAACCTAAAGAATCAACAACAAAACGAGAATCTGCTTAAAAGGCGAAGTTTCCCATTCTTTGACCACTCAAAAGTCAATTTAGACCATGGAAATAATAAGCATTATGTTTATAGTACACTTACCAGGAATCGAATTAGACAGCCTGCAAAACCCAAAGAGGATTTGCTGAAAAGTTCTAAAAGCATGCACAATGTGACCAACAGTGTGGAAGAGGAGGAGGAGGTGATCCAGGGAGACCCTCCGAGTGGCACAGCTACCAAGTCCATTTCCATCGCTGCTTTGCTTGATGAGAATAAAGAGGAATCTAACAAAGACCTCACTTCAAAGAAAGAAGTTAAGGGTTCCCCAAGCTTTTTGAAAAAGGGATCTCAGAAGTTAAGGTCATTACTTAGCCTGAGCCCAGAAAAGAAAGAAAATTTATCCAAAAATAAAACATCTCCCTTTTATAGAATGTGTAGTAGTTCTGACACTTTGGCTTCTGAGGCTGAAGAGAATCAAAACCCCAAAAAGTCAGAACCGAAAGTTGAGTCTCCCAGAAGAAAGCGTGGTTCCTCATCAAACTCTCAAGGCAGCCTCCACAAGAGTAAGGAGGATATAACAGTGAGCTCCTCTCAGGGGAGAAATTCTCCACCCGATGAAAGTAATGAAATACTGCCTTCTCCAAGTCCAGTTGAAAACAAGTTCTTAGAAAGGCCAGGGGATGCCTCTGCCCCAAGATTTAACACGGAACAGATCCAATACCGAGATTCGAAGGAGATTAATCGAGTTGTTGCTCCTGTAAGAAAACCAGCTCTTCCTGTCAGGTCACAGCCCAATGAGCTTCTAAGAACTCAGTCCACTGACCGGCGCATTTACAGTCGTTTTGAGCCATTTTGTAAGATTGAGAATTCTATTCAGCCAACAAGCAGCATGTCAAATAGCAGTATACACCGCCGAGAAATAAAATCCACAACTGTGGGCAATAGCTATGGTCGGTCCAGCCCAAGGCTTGCTTACAACACTAATGTTTACCACACATATCAGCCAAATGAAAACAAGTTTCGAGGATTTATGCAAAAGTTTGGAAACTTCATAAACAAAAATAAATGAAGTATTGTCATTGCAAGTAGATATTAAAATACAAAATGAATGTGGCTATGGTGATTTGTCCGAAGAACATTGTGGACAGTTTTTGTAAATGCCAATAGATTTCTGTGAGGCAGGATTTGGGGTATGATGTATATTTTTACCAACATACTGTGTACAGTAAAGTTATTGTTTATGATAAAGTTAGTTGTGCTTAATTATGCCACCAATGGACTGTCTCTATAAACACATAATGTTTAAATGGTAATGGTAAAAAAAAAAGTAATTGTTTTCTTCAGAATGAAGATCTTCTTAAGTCTTAACTAGAAGCTTTAGTGGAGAGATGGTGCATGGGTTTTAACCATTTATTGCAAAGTCATTCCTTTTATAAAAGGATCCTAGTAATCTCAGTGGCCCACGTCTTTGTGGGGTTTTCATAACTTCAGATTATGAGAAAATAAGACAAAGCCTTTTCTGTTTTAATTGCCTTTAAATTTTACAGGATAACTTGTTATATTTTATTAATGTTGTATTACTTTTTCTGTGGGGCATATACCACTGGTGGGTAGCACAATAATATTTAAACTTTATAGATCAGCATATTTTTTATGTTGCCTGAGGGTGTTTGCAAAGTTTCAGCCTCATGTAGCACAAGTACGTCTGAGGAATGTGCCTTCCTTCCAGGATGTGCTTCTGCCCACCCTTTCCGGGGAGCCTGGACTTCCCTTATCCATCAGCTGCTCAGCTTTTATAGTCATTTCTTCTTTCAAACGAAGAGCAAGGCCGCAGGAATTGAAAAGCCTGATGTGCCCCTCCCCTTTAAATACTTTAAAATAAACTTTTAGAAACATAAATTTCTACATAAATTTTTATCTTAAGAGGATGACGGTACTTAAGTGTCTTGCTTGCAGAAGTCTTTGCTCTTTTTTTTATGCTGTGCCAAACACCGGGTGACTTGGCAGTGTTTTCATAGGAATGCTGTGATGAATATGGAATGTGGTACCTGGTCTGTTCTTTCATGACCTTTGGACCTGCTTGCAGGTGTTAAGATTTCCTGTGTCAAACTCTCAAGGCAGCATCCACAAGAGTAAGATGTAACAGTTAGCTCCTCTCAGGGGATGGGGGTGGGTAGGGCAATATTTTATTGTTTTAAAAATTCAAGATTTAGACAAATATTAATATATGTTATGAGATAATGAAAATGGCATTAAAATATCTATGCCATTTAAATAACTTTCCTCAGCATTTTCTTTTTTTAAAAAAAATATATTTTATTGAGTTTTTACAGAGAGGAAGGGAGAGGATAGAGAGTTAGAAACATCGATGAGAGAGAAACATCGATCAGCTGCTTCCTGCACACCTCCTTCTGGGGATGTGCCTGCAATCAAGGTACATGCCCTTGACCGGAATCGAACCTGGGACCCTTCAGTCTGCAGGCCGACGCTCTATCCACTGAGCGAAAACAGCTAGGGCTTTCCTCAGTACTTTCAAACCATGATAAGAAATACAATGGGTGAAGTAATGACAGTCAGGAAAAGAAAAGGTTTCCTGAGTGCTTACTTAGACCAGGTCTTGAGCCTGAACCTAAAGTCACCACAACAACATTTTGTGGGTTAGCATTACCCTCTTTATTTATAGTTGATGACTAAGGTGATAATTGAGACATTGCAGTACAAAGAGATAATGCCCCAAGTCACATAATTAATAAGTAATGGTACTAAAGTGTTTATAACATACTGTCTCATCACATTACTTCCAAAATATGTTCAACTTCTGCCTCACCCAAACTATTAGGGATTAAATGAGAAAAATGTTTATATTTCCTGACTCAAGAGCAATCAATCAAAAAGGATTTAGTTGAATGCCACCAGACAACAGGGCACATGGGGCTAAAAATAGTCATAGTAGTTGAGATTAAGGAATTAAATTGAGATTGACGTATGAATGTAACCCAGCAGGCCAGTTGTAATTGCTGGGTAGTCATTTTGATCCCTTTCCAGTTGACCTGTGACAACGAGAGGAAGGGAAGAGGAACCATTGGTGAGCCTCAACCTGCTTCTGTACTAGAGAAAGAAGCCCATTAGGGTAGGAAGCTAGGCAGGGAATGGAACTCGGGGAAAGTTAAATACATGATCCAGTTATATATCTCGTGGCGGGCAGCTTAGACTTTTGCACAGCAGATTTATTCTCTGACTTTTTTTTTTTCCTTTGGTTGTTTTCCTTCTCTATTTTTTTTTCCTTCAGAAATATCTATGTGTCAGAATCAGGCTGATCTATAAAGTTTAAATATTATTGTGCTACCCACCAGTGGTATATGCCCCAGAGAAAAAGTAATACAGCATACAACTGGATCATGTATTTAACCCTGAGTTCCATTCCATGCCTAGCTTCCTACCCTAATGGGCTTCTTTGTCTAGTACAGAAGCAGGTTGAGGAACCCTGGGAAATACCTTCTTTTTGCAAATAAGAAAACTAAGCCTCAAAGAAGTTACATAATTTGCCAAGAGTTACACAGCTCTTAATTGGTAGAATGGGTTTAAACACAAAAGCTTATATTTTTAATACTATACTACACCACACTCTCCTGGCTTCTTATCCCTCTCTGCTTGAGGAACCTCCTTTGAAAGGAGTTCCTGTCTTTTGTTCTCTTTACAAATTGCAGAACTATAACAGCAACTCTACAGCAATAGCATTTTATAAACACAAATTCAGAATATAATATTCAGTTTAACATCATTCACAAAAGCGGATTTTAAAACTGTCATTGTAACTTAAGGAATTCCCAAGTACTACAACATAGGATTTTATTATTTTGGTAAAGTAAATGTAATAGAAAGTTTTGCACATTTTGTCATAAATTAATAGCATAAAAATAGAACTTTGAGGCGGAAGAGCCATTTTCACAAAAAAGACAGCCAAGTATATTTACAAAAAATGAATTAAAACAAAACTGAAATATGTATTTCCTTGTAATCAGAAGAGGAATTCAGCTGCAATAAAGCTGTTTCTAATTGTTAGTGGGTTAATTTTTAGAGTCAACTAGAAGTTGTATGCTCTTCAGATATTTAAAAACGTTAGCAGAGAGTAAAAGAGATTTGTAAATTTGCTCTTAGATAAATTGACTTCTGTAATTCTGGACCCACAGTTAACCTAACCAGATTGACTTTAATATCTGACCCATTCTAAGTTACTATTAGATGGGGCATGTTTCAGAGATAAGGGGGGAGTTTGCTAATTGTCTTTAGGCCGCTCTGAAATGGCAAATCCTGAAAATTTCGAGCAAGGTAATTTTAAAGCTGAAATCACAAAAAGACTAGATCATGTTTAATTACAAGCAAGAGCTGGTTGCCTTTCTGTGCAGCCGCTGCCATCGCTTCTGGAAGCAGTTTTTACACAGTGTCTGCGTTCCTCCTCTCCCTAGTGACACTGTGAGCACAGGATGCTTCATTTCATCCACTCGTGGCGGGCAGCTTAGACTTCTGCACAGCAGATTTATTCTCTGACTTTTTTTTCCCCTTCGGTTGTTTTCCTTCTCTATTTTTTTCCTTCAGAATCTGTGCAGAGTAACTTTCCAAAGTTTCTGTGGCCGAGAAACTCCTCAAGGTTAAAACTGAGCAAGCACACAGTATTCCAATAATTTACAGGCACTCCAAACTCCATGGATATATTTATTTCAAGCAATGTAATTCATTTTGCTCCCAAATGAATATTGGTAGAAAGATAATGTCACGTAAGAGTATTTTCATATAATATTTGGTAAGGTCATTTTTACTCTCTACATCCTACATTAATTTCTGTAAGCAGAAACTCAAGAAAATTGGTGTGATTTCAAAGTAATTCTTGGCAGGTAGCTTCAGAATAGTTTAAGTGCCTGTGTCCTGAGCACATTGATAACTCTCTATCACAAAGATCAGGTCAACCTCAGTTCTGATGTGCTGTGTTACAGGATGCTGTGTGTTGCTATTCTCACCTGTGGAAGCAAATACCTTGTTTCATCAAGATGGCGTCCAGTGTGATCTAGAGAAGCAGGAAGAAGACTGAACTCTCCATTAACTTTAACTTTTCTCAGGATTATCTAGTTATTCAACTTTTATTCCACAGATATTTGTCTTTTTTGAATATCTGTTGTTCTTAATGTGCCTATGGATTAGGGATGTAAAGTAGAATAACTTTTTATGTAGACTATGTGTGATACTATGTTTGTTTTTATAAAGTTTACCATAATATTGAATTTGGTTCTAGAATATTTAAAATAAAAAGGATGAAATTATAAACCAAAAAGTCAATTTTTAATATAAATACAATGTTAGTAAAGAAATATTCTTCCAAATTAACTTTGTTTTTTGATCTAATAAAAGAATATTAAATAATTTTGTACAAATATCAATATATTGTAAGTGTTTATTTATTCTCTCATACCGTGGATTTTTCTATATAAGCTTATACTTTCACTTAGTTATTTTATTATGAATTTAGATTTTTATACCTCTTTAATGTTTTTCTATAAATTTTGAAACCATAGCTTCAACACTTTTAGATTTATTTTGATTAGCAATAATATTTTATATAATCTATCCATATTTGATATCCAGTAACAATATTCTTCCCTGAACAATATTATATACACCTGTTTTTTTATTTCTATTTCTAATGCACTATAGTAGCTATTTTAAATAACTTGGGACTTTGAAAAATAGAGAATCTATTTTGTTTCAAATTTGGTAGCTGATTTCTATAACTATAGCATTTAGGTGGAGTGAAATATGCTAAAGGAACATTTCATTAGATGAATTCGTGACATTAAATAATTTAAAGTCTGAAAGTTATTTAAAACTCAAAATGTGTTTTTCTTAGAAAAAAACAATTTCTGATATTGCAGATTAAGATACAGTTGAAATACTCTATTTTGAAAATTAAATAGTGACTTTGAAAAGGCAAATGTGATTTTTAAGTAGGTAAGTATAATTTTAAGTAGTTACATAAAAATGTTTATTTTATTTTTTTATTTATCATAAAAACTGATGTTTAAGAAAAATCTGGTTCGATAGAATGGTAAGGGAAATAGATAAGGGTTTACTTTTTGTGGCCATCCTAAAGGAAACTTTGGAAGAGGTTCAGTTGATTTAACTAGTTAAAGACCATCCTGGGGTAATGGGACTATATAAATATGAAAGGGCATTATGTGTGTGTGTGTGTGTGTGTGTGTGTGTGTGTGTTTGTGTGTGTGTGTCCTGCCTGGGGAAAGAATCACATGAGGTGGAATTACCTAAGCTGAAAGCGGTAGGAAACAGAAGCCAGTGATACAAAAGAAAATTCTTGGTTTAACCAAACAAAACAAAAAAAAAAGGTCAAATTGGACATTTTTTCTCATAGTAATCTGTTTCATTTATTTATTTAACACATACTGGGAGCCTACTTTATTCCAAGTGTATAGGTTATAGTAGACTTTTGATGTAAGAAAAAAAGAGAATGTCTTGAATAATCAGAAGCTATAGCAAGTTTTCACGTGTTTTAAGACTAGCCCAAACTAACAGCAAAATATGTATGCTACTTGTCCAAACTGTGCTTTGATGTACTCCTAGTGCCTGGCAAAGGGTGCACATAGAGATGCCTGGGAAGTATTCTATCTGTGAGTCCAGTCATTTCCTTTTATTATTATTATTATTATTATTATTTCTCCTAGCAATAACATTTCGTCATTTCCTTAACTGTAATTGATAAATATATATTCCATTAACATTCTTGTATTAACATCTGCATTGTATAACTATTTGAATAGCCATTTTTATCAAAGGTATTGATAAGTTAATAGAGCAGGGATTTCTAGTTTAAATTTCAACTACATTTACCCTAG